AATTAATGAGGAAGAGAAACAAATTACGTTTACGCGTCAAAAGTCCATGCTGTTGAATTCCAACTTCAGATGAACTCTATATAGAATTGATTACATAAGGCTAACAGTTCATAGCGGTGCTACGACGTATAGATTCAATACAACAGATTAATTGGCTCGTATTCTTTGACGTAGTCGATTCACTTTCGATTAACTTTCCGTTTCAGAGTTCTCTTATCAGATAAAATGAAAGCCAAATAAAAAGATTAATTGGGTAGATGCCTTCCATTCGATCGCAAAAATCCCATCAAGTCTTTATAAAGATGTTCAATGTCTTCGAGAAAAAATAAAATGATTTGTGAACAAATAAGAATTGTTAGTGTTGAACAATGTGTCAAGATTTTTTTAAGTAATGTGTCGTAAGTTGATGTGATGGCAAAATTTACTTTCTATTAGACTTGTTAATATAAATATGTAAAACTTGACAAATACAAGCATGCCATTCAAGACAAACTTCAACTGTGTCTGTACCTTTCATTCTTGTATTAGGTCGAGAGTTCAGGTTGTCATCAGTAGACCTTGATGGTGAATAAATAAAAAACACTATAATTACATCATCGACACAACTGATTGTTATAAAAACTGTGGACAATACAGAGTTCTAGAGTTTAAAAGAAATCTCGATAGAAGTTGGTAGTGATTTATAATTCAGTCAGGACACTAAAACAAATCTACCCTCTACACTACAATAATAGAAAATTAAATTAAATTAAATCATAATTTTCTCACGGTAGAATAAAAGAATTTTGAACAAGAAGTGTTTCATGATGCGTCATCAAAATAGCCAAAACGATTTTCTTCAAGTCAACTTCACGTCCATCAATTCGATTTAACAACGTAATTAACAACAAATAATTAACAAACGGTTATGCTCCTGTGATAAGTATCTAGCGAGAGAGTTTCTCGCAAACAGTTAGGAGGTAGAAACGCGGCGATCGACTGGATGCGCGCGCGCCGCCCGCCCGCCCAGAATAGCAGTCATCTGGCACTCAGCCAATCACACGCTTTCATTATAATTTTACCCCATTCATAATCCTAACTTAATATCCCTGTATGGAAAAATTACTAGGCTTAAATGTGTCGTTTTCATAATATCATGTTCCTCAATTGTAAAAACGAATTAGTCATACATTTAACAACAACACACGAATTCATACATAGGTTGTACTTTTAGACATGAAATTTTACAGAAACAATTAACTGAATTCGTTCCTTATATTCCTTATTCCTTTGTTATAAAGTGTGTCAAGAATATTTCTGTGGTGTAAAGTATAAAAACATGGTTGTAGACGGGTTTATCCATTTTTGTATACTTTTAAAGTTAATTTATGAAATCGAACGCGCAGATCTATGAATGAACATAAAATTTGCATTATTTTTTTATACAAGGCTTGATGTTGCAAACCAGTTATCTCGAAAGTGAAGGTGACATCTAACAGTCTATCACTGATATTGTAACAAGTACTTATAAAGAAACAATGCATTTTTAATTCACAGTATTTTCCTGTCGATTTTATGAATGACCAGCTTTTGCCAGCGGCTTTGCTCGCGTTCCCGTGGGATAAAAAGTAGCCTGTATTTTTCCAGACCTATCCAACCCCTGTTGCACGGGCCTGCGGACGGCGAGCATGGGAGAGCGACTAGAATCAGACCCGAGCGTACGACGCGTCGCGTTCCGCGCTTCCCTCACAGAGCCATCAGGCTACCACGGATGAGGCCCAATAGGGCTGATGCCGATACAGAGCCGCGGAGGACTTACTTAACAGGTTGCCGAGGCTCTGGCTCGCAAGGCAGGAGTAAGAACGGGGTGGTTTTTAGTCAGTAGGAGTCTGACACTTCCTCCCGCCTCACCTCGGCGGGACAATACATTCGATGATTTTCACTACTTAAAAAAAATCCTACCTACCCCTGTTCCGAATTTTATCTCGATCCCTTCATCTGCTTTGAAGTGCAGGAATAACAAATAAACAAACAAACTTCCGCATTTATAATATTAGTAGAATGATGATGAGATTACCTGTGATTGTGGCTACGTGGCGTACGTCGCGCGGTGCTAGCGAGGGCGCGCGAGCCACATCCTGAAGGGCCGCCAGCTTGACGAAGTGCCCTACAAATAGATACAACTGTTACAATAAACACAAACAGACATTTTAATCACAAATTTAATACAAAACTATTAATACAATCAAGCTTAACCAATATCCTACTACTATCAATAGCTCAATTATCAAAATTAAAGAAAATATGACAATTCGAAGCCTGACAATAGCACTATAGTGTAAGCCACTCCCCATTCAACTTATAAAGAAGTATTGATTATAGTAAGAGATTTCAGAAGTCCTTTATTTCAATGAGTTTCATGATACATAGAGATAAGCAACAGATAAATAGTACAATTTGTAATATTTGCATGCTATCTAGGACATGGCCAGGATGTTAGTGCAAGTGCATGCAAGTGCTAATAATAGCATCTGCAAACACTGTCTTCATATTTGTTATATAGTGAGAAAGTGTTAATTAATAAAGGTAAAATATATTGCCACTTTCATAACTGTGCTAACAGTATTTTCACAAGTTTTTAATGTTCTTGTGAAAATATTAATTGGTTCTAAAGATTAATGATGCTTCAAAGTAGATATTATGGTTTCTTATTAGACACCATCTTAGAATCTTATTTTATTAACTATTAAACTGCCTGCCGCATTGACCGAGTGTTTGACAGTGCAACTGCCACTGGACTTTTATTCCCGGGTCGGGTAAAGTATTGCTGGGTTTTAAAAAAAATCTCAGTAGTAACACAAAGTCTGGAATTGTGCCCGGTATATGGCAATAGGTTCACCCCTATTACATGGGACACATAACATAAATAGTAAAAGTGGATATTATATTGTACAGTGGCATTAAGTGCCCTTTCCCCTTCAGAATATAAAAGGTGTGATGTCATGTTGTGTTCACTATTAAATGGATTCATTCTTTCTCTTGTTTCTCGAGAGATGTATAAATGTCAATATAAAATGTTTTGGTATAAAATTTTAAAACAATTCATATAATAACAAGTTGAGCAGAAAAATTCTTCTTATAGGACTATTACTATAGTCAAAGAAAGAAATTGTACTCACAGAATCAATTATGATGACCGTAATCGGAGTGTGTTGATTTAAATTTCTGAAAAATAAGAACATTTTCATGTAGGAGATGTGTTAAGGTATTTCATGTAAGATAATGTTTGGTTACATTTATTTACAGCTTGTAAATTCATCATATACAAAGGTGTAGTGGTTTTGTAACATAATAATCAACACCATTGTTACAATGAGAACCAGAAATAACAATGTCAGTAAGGTAGGGAACCACCTCTTTAGTGTAGTGGTCATAAAGCATGCTTGGATTTGATGTTTTCCTTAACTCTCTGCAAAGATATTTATCTGAAGTAATAAACAATGAAAAAATTGTAAATAAATATGACTCCTGGGCAGGTCTAGCATATTTTTTTATATTTCTATCTCTTTCTGTTTTTAAAGATACATATTTATCATTACTTAGCAACAATACCAAATAATACCAAAACTTATACCAACACCAGTCAAGCTCTTTCCTTTATAACATGGTTATTTCAATCCTTTGTTTATTTCATGAGCATTGAGCAATGAACAAGAAACTATTACATAGAGACAGAGCTAAAACTCATTTTCAACTTTATTCTTTTGTTCTAAGGTTGAAATAAGCCAATTGCATGCATTCTAGAGAACTAGACAAGCAAATTACAATTCCTGAATGATGACTAAATTACTGGTTTTGTACAAAAATGTGATTTATGTAGACAGGTGTGGAAGAATGATGTACAAGACATGATTGTTATATCTAAAGTACTGCATTTAATACAATACGTAATAAATGAAATTTAGGTGACCTAACTTTAGTGATAACAAGACAGTTACTATATCTTTCCCTTGACATTAAACATAGATAAACGGTCCAATTATTATTAACGTGTGACCTGTTCATTCGTCATTCAACACAAGTGCTAGCTGGAATAATGAGTAACAATATTCAGTCATTACCTTTCCAGCATAAGTGTTTAATAATTTAATACGTGACATCGAACATTTAATAAAATTCTAATTGTGTGGGTGTCTTTACCTAGCCAAGTTTGCTAACTTCAAGTACAAATACACAGGTCTCAGTAACATGTACTAGATTTTGAAACCAGTGTATGAAGGTGACGTAATTTTAATCCGCGAATGCTCTTCTACGGATGCTCTTAACAAAAACCAGTTAAAACTTACTGTCATAATTTACATCATTGCTGCAGCTGTGACCTTGCTGCCAAAAACCCCAAAGACTCCATCCGTCGGTATCGTAACAGTTCTTTTGTACACACGTTCACGTATTGGGTTCAAAGTTTTCTCACGCATAATAAAATACACCTTCCACGATTCCTTGATTATTGCACTAGTTACCACTGTCTAAGTAATAAACACTAGTTTAATTTACAACAAAATTTATTTTCTGCCCCCGCGTTACTCGATCGAGCACTATCATTCGGTTCGTTCCGTTTTTTTTTTATTCACAGCACAGATTCATTCATCACATTCACAAATCAGACAGCGGTCAGTGTTGCAAGACTTTTAAAAAAAATACCCAGTACCCACTTGATATAAAATTGTTGTTTGCGGCAATTTATACTTCTTCAGACTTGACTTGTATGAAAATGAAATGACTACGTTGCGGGCGTGAATCGTATAGAATGTAGTGTGTTCAACTCTGTACATTGAACAAAAACCAAGTTGCATTGGTACATTGAACTAGTAATGTCTTCAGTTTTGGAATTCAGCCAAATATTATGCAACTAAAAATGGGAGAGGTCAGGAGTTCGATCAATGATTTCGGATAAAATCACGATATGCCCAATACGGGTTCATTAAAATGTCCAAATAATACTATATATATAATTTGTCGAACAAATTGTATTAATAAATCTTATATAAAGTATTTTTTGTTATAATAACTACAATTTTTCTAGAATTGGATAAGTTCGTTAGAGATTGAAACTTCCAAGTTCCTACTCTATGTCAAGACATGACATACTACATTCATTTTCAATGGTATAACATCTACCTGCAAGTAACCTTATCGAAACTATAGAAGTCTTAATATATTTTATTTCACACTAGACGTGTATGTAAAAAATACAGGCTAAACTCAAAGTTATCACCTAATACAGGATAGAATCATCCCAAGTTTTTAAATATCTAATCAAATCAATTTATAATCTTAATATATTCATTAAAACTTCATTACTTATTTAATCACAATTATTGTGAATTGTAACATTTACTTGTATGTATATTCTAAATAGGTATTTCATGTCTGATCAATGATCATATTCATGTCTGATATATTATGTCACTATTCTTGTTTTTTATTCACAATAGGTACTATTATAAACATAATATCAGAATGAGTATATTTGAAAGAAACATTAATCTGAAAAATTATCATGACGTCCACTGAGATAACAATCCTAATCTAAATGATTTATTATTGATTCGTTGTACTTTACCCCGGCTATTATCATTATAACAAGTGAAATCGACGCTAAAACCATACTAATTCCTGTTACAAGTACAATAAATACGAAACCTGAAACAAAACAATAAGAAATTTACAAATAAATAAGAACATAAAAGCGTTAAATATAGTAATTATTAAATACTCAGTACTTGACTCTGTGTAGTCTGCTTACCTTCAAAGAGTAAGATGATCGTAGCAAGAATAAATACTCCTAAGAGGATTATAAATACAGCGGACAATGTAACACTGAATAAAATTAAAAATATTGAAAATAATACTGTCGATAACACAGGCTTCTTTAGTAAATAATGTATTATTTGTAACCATATTTTTTGATTGATTTCAGTAAGAACATGATATTTTTCTACACACGGTCCTGAAATAAGATAAAAAAATGTGGTAAAGAGGCCTATACGATCAGATTTATAAAAATCATTAATGAAAACAATTAACAAAAACCTCGTATTGGTAGAATTATGAGAAATGATTTAAAATAGAAATGGGGTTTTACTTACCACATGTTAGTTTTATTGTTTCTCTAAATGCATTATTTATATTAATCTCCATTTTTAAGTTTCATCAAAATAATTTAGATTATTAAAATTGGAGGGTAACTGTTTACATGTATAATAATATTTACCATCTACTATTACTTTACTTCTCATTGATTTTTTTCTTGTTGTTTTGAAATTAAATATTTGTGAATATACGTCCAGGTGAATTACTTTTTATTTTTTTTAATAAAAAATAAAAACAAATGATCAAAATACAATAATTTAGAAATTAATATTCTTGGCAGAAATAATGCTCGGACAATAATGTTGTGGGACTAGTGCAGATTTAACTGGCAACTTTTTTTTTGGTTGAATGGCTACGATCTATGCCTTATAGTTTTTAGTACTGGAATAGAAATAAAATTTTACTCTATACCAATTTCGCTTTCGCGCCAAAATTTGACAGTTTATCAAACTAATTGAATTGACATACATGTGTTACTTTACTTCTTACTTGTTGTTGTGTTATTTTTCAGCTTTTATAATTTGAATTCAGTGTCTTATATAATTCCTTCTTATACATCAAATTTTATCGACTTAGAACTGAGTGTTTTAGTTAAAAATTAGTGCAATTTATGAATCATGGTAAAAATCTTCTACAATATAATCGAATTGGACTTAGAGAAGGTCATATTCGTTATGTTGTTTTTAATTTTAATTATTTTATTTGTACAGGTCGGGCACTATGACGAGAATATGTTACCTGAAATGTTGCCTATTTATTACACTCGGCTATTCCCCCAAAATATATTTTGTAGGTGGCTCACTTGTGGGAGTCATCCACAGCCACTTTCAAACCGAGAACTGTCGTTTACATTAGCCGATGATGTCTATTTGCGTTATTTGACTATTTGTAATCAAAAGGAATTGCAAACCCTTCTCCAGAAGAAATGTCCACATAAGTTAGATATTGGAGCCGTTTACAACACAAAGTAAGAACATTCGTTTAACAAAATGAGTATTAGGGTCTAACTATGTATGCAATTTTAACTCCTTGTTGTAATTTACAGGCCCTCAATAGGACGCCACGACGCAGTTGTGTTGTCTAGAGAGCTGGTGTTTGATATTGATCTTACAGATTACGATGAAGTCCGAACATGCTGCCAAGAAGCAAAAGTATGTGAAAAATGCTGGAAATTCATGATAATAGCTTGTGAAATTATTGATCGGACACTAAGAGGTAATTAGTAAATAATAACTTATTTAAGGCAAACCTGCAGGGAAGCGGAAGTCAAACTATGAAAATTCATAAATCAAATTAAAATATTTATACCTCTACACATAGGATGTGATTCAATATTCCAATTGCTTTGATGTAACTTTTAGTATCTAATTGGTAAAACATGGTTTACGTGAAATGATGTAGAATAAAATGTCTTTATTTATTTCATTTTGAACATTTTTAGAGGATTTTGGTTTCCAAAGCATTTTGTGGGTGTTTTCTGGTAGAAGAGGTATTCATTGCTGGGTTTCGGACTATGAAGCTCGGACATTGGACAGTCCTGGCAGGGGAGCAGTGGCTGACTACATGTGCCTGATAATGGGAGGTGATAACCAAAACAAGAAGGTTCATCTTGGCAGTGATAATCTACATTCAAGTATTAGGTAAGGTTCTGATTTACATCTTATTTATTGAGAACGGAAGTAAAAAAAATCCTTATAATATATAATAATAATGTCATGCAAAAGACAGTTCACTACATATCAAGCATAACTATAAATAATAAATAAAATTAAGTGAAACTAATTTCCACCCACTATCTGATTTCAGGAGAGCACTCGCAATCATTGATAAATATTTTGAACAGTTACTCCAAGAGCAAGAGTTTCTTAGCACTTCAGACCGTCTGGAAAAGTTGTTAAAAATGATTCCTGATGATACATTAAGGTCTCTAGTTAAAAAAAGCTTAGAAAGCATGCCTGAAGCCTCTTTAGATAGATGGAATTCTTTCATAAGTGTTTATGAGAGTTATTGCAGAGAAGTAAGTGAAATTCTTTTGTAATGCAGGATGCAATGCATTGTCTCAAATAAATACTTATTTACATAATAACACGCCTTTTATCCCTAAAGGGGTAGGCAGAGGTGCACATTACAATGTAACACCCACTTTACACTATTTATGTTATGAGTCCCATGTTATAGGGGGTGAGCCTATTGCCATATACCTGGCACAATTCCAGACTCCATGCTACTACTGAGAATTTTTTAAAAACCCAGTAATACTTTGCCCAACCCGGGATTCGAACCCGAGTCCCCTTGCCCGGCAGTCGCATTTGCGACCACTATGCTGACCAGGCAGTCAGGCACTTATTTACCTATGATAACATTTTCTTCTTTACAGTCAGGAAATGTCAGAAAACTAAGGTACTTGGTAGAAGAAATCAAAATTCAGTACAGCTACCCTAGATTAGATGTAAATGTCACCAAAGGTTTCAATCATTTACTCAAATCACCATTTAGTATTCACCCAAAAACTGGCAAAGTTTCTGTTGTATTCAAACCAAATAATGCAAAGAATATGAAACTGGATGAAATTCCTTCAATCTACAGTTTGTTGGATGATAGCTCCCCAGACCATGTTCAACATGAAACTAATATGAGAGCAGCTGTGAAAAACTTTCAGGAGGTGGTATTTTCACTAGAGAAATCTGAAGCAATCAGAAGAAAGGCTGATGCTAGTAAGTGAACTTTATGAAGATCTGGAACAAATAAATTGTAATGGCGATAATCTTGTACTACTTAATTTATATTATTCTCTTTCAGATATGTCTCTGGAATTTTGAGGACTTTCCTTCTTATTCAGCCTAAAATATCAAGCAAGTTATCTGCACGAAACTGTCATATCTCCACACACTGTGCAAACAGATATATTATGAAGTTTTCTGACCCAAAAAAACATTAACATTAAAACAACAACTTTTGATATGTTAAGTAAAATAAAACAAATAAAAATTATAAAATATCTATTTATTTCCCCATACCAAGCAATAGCTATATCGTCAATAATACTATGGAATCAACGCAAAAGTTGATCGTGTGAATAAATAATTAGCAAAAATAAAGATCTCATTTAACAGGTGGGTAGGTATTGCTTGTTCCATAATGTTCTTAGCATTGTGCAGAGACATTAAAATATTCAATACTATATTCAATAACAATGGGCAAGATCTATTTCGTTACATTTTAAGACTTATTAACATCTCAATAATGTTCACATTCGTTTATTGCTTGATTAAGATAGTGTCATAAAATAGAGAAACAAGATAGTAATTATGTATGAAGCTTAATAAATTATAAACACTATTTTACTTCATGTAGAATAATGTATAGCGTTGGCGTCAACTCCAATATTTTTTACTATTATTCTCAAATGGAGCAACTTAGCGCAACAGTCAGGAAATCTTCAAATCCGATAGTAACGGTTCCATTTTGTTGTGTGTCGCGTGTTCTAAAAGCTTCAGTAAAACGTTGTATCTGCACACACAACACAATGAAGCTGTCTACGGAAACTTTCCCGCTAGTGCATCTTTTCATCAAAAAGTTCACGAAATCTGGTGTAAACCGGAATCCCATTTTTGTCAATGCTGAAACATACAAAAAGAAACATGTAATTTTTAGGAACTAGGTACTTAAATTATCTAAATCAATTAAAATCGCCAACCTGCCAATAAGCAAGCGTGATGATCAATAGTCATGCTCATTCATAAGAAGGATCTTATCGTACGAAAAAAATATTCCTGCTAAGTGCTCAGCAAAAGACCAGAGGCCTTCCGCCTTAGTACGAGTTTGTTTTACGTTTAAAGTAATCGTAACGAGTTCGCGTTCGGCGCTCTGACTGGTTGGTTAATTGGCGCCTGCCAATCAGAGTGACGAACGCGTACTCGTTTCGAATACTTTAACACGTTAAACGCCATGGGGGTCACCGGTGACAGGCGCATTCGCCATATGTGGACGCACCCTTACATAGATATGTACAATACTATGTCAGTATTTCTAAGTACAAAATAAAGGTAAAGTACGTACCATCGGCAAGTTCATTCTCTTCGATGTTTCCAGATTGATCCGTATCATAAGTCTTGAACACAGTCAGCCACTGGTTAACATAGGTGTACAGTTTCTCAAATTCTTCCACATTTATGTGCCCCGAGCGATCTTTATCAAACATCCCTGTAAATATAAACGAATAATATTTATGTAGGATTCCTACTTAGTTAATGTATGCGATTCACCTACTAGATACAGAAATTATTTTATGGGTATTAAAACCCTTTCCTGACCTCATTTTAAGTTATTTGAAGATTGAGGTGGTCATAAGGTGTCCTCTGCCCTCATTTTGTATGCTTCTCTATCAGAAGTATCGTCCTACTCCTATCACAAACAAATCAGCTAATCATATATGGGAAGTAGATAATTTCATTGATTTTCATTGACAAGGTACCTACTAGGTGAGGGATAAACGAACACAATAACTGTGTCCTGTTCCCATCATTTAAATTGGTGTTTACACCTATTTATTAGAGCCATACTGTGGCTCGTTGGGTGAATATTACAGTAGGTAACAATGCCGCGGAGAAAAGGTTACCGGGCCTCACCCAAGCGGGGAAGTCATTCGATGATTTTTCCCGCCTTTAAAAAAGGTAGGTAACAATAAAACTCACCGATCATCAAATTACAGGCAGTTTCAGAGAACGATTGACCCTGAGCATTTATTAGTGCTGCCCTGAGCTCATTAGCAGTAATAAAGCCAGATTGGTCTTTGTCGACTGCACGGAACCATTGTTGTACTTGAGGATTGACTCCACCACCAGGTCCTATCGACGGATACGGCCCATGACCCATTTCAAGCTGGCCAGGTGGGGGCCCACCATAACCTGGTGGTTGACCATATCCTTGCTGGGGTGGTGGACCGCCGTAACCAGGCTGAGGAAAATAAGAATACAGAATTATTATTAATTGTACACAAAGTAATTAGGGTGTTGAATCTCTAAAACATAATAAATTGTGAATTTTCTTGCTGGAACAATGTTACCCGCCCTTTACTCTGGTTCTTATTAGGATAATAATAACACTACCCTCAAGGGTATATATTTCACAGCCTGCAAACAGCTAGTCCTACATATTATTGAAAGTAACAACACGCAGATTTCGTACTCTATTATACTGTAACAGCCTTGTCTTAATTAATATTTTTATGGTCTATTGTCTTTAAGATAAGGTATCTTGAGTTAAGTGTAGTTTAGTTTACCATTCGATGCCACTATCTACAGGTGTGAATTTTAGGATATAACGAAGTCACCTATTCGTGAAGTCAGTTATCCACATAAAGAATTGTATTGTCCGGAATCGAACCCATCGCACGTTGTGCAACAGCTGGTCGCCCAGCCACTGCGCCAACTGTAGAGTCAAGATAATATTTAAAGATTGCAATAAATGAAACATTCTTATTCTTAGATTATTTTATTCTGTAAAGTATATAAATAGTTACCGTATTTACACAGTATAAACAATAAAAAAACTGCATTATTACTATTTAATTTACGTTATTTTTTACAATTATTATCAAAATTAAGAAATGCAGCAATGTATTTTAAGTTATTTGTAACAATTTAAAATTATGTATTGAGGAACTGAATTTATATAAAAATAAACTAATAAACTCGTTATTTTAAGGTTTAAGATCGACATGTTTTCTTTCTAGGCAGGTAGGTATTGACAATTACACTCCTTCATTTAAGATAAATTTAAATAACAAATAAAAAATGGCGTTTTTGTTTAAGAATAAATCAATCAAGCAGAATTTCTGTTATGTAATACTCAATACCAGGGTCACACAATTGCTGCACTTCCTGTACCAAGAACATGTAATGTATGTGTCTTTACATTATGAGCATTGTCAACCAATTTTAATCTTGTTCATTTGTTAATACTTAGTCCAAAGGTTTTATTAGTAATTAATTTTATATGGATTTTTGTTGCAAAAGTATCAAGTTAATCTGCATTTCTTACTTTCAGAAGTTTCACACCCATTTTCATATATATCCAATAATCTCACACTCCCCTTTGTATTAATCTACACAATATTAACTTACACATTTTAATATCTAATTAAATTACCTGCATTATACATAACATTACTAATCATTTCTATTGTTATTATTCATTATCAACATTTTACTTTCTAGACATACAAAACAGTATACGTGGATTACTATGGTATGCATAAGCTCACAAAACCACTGCATAATTATCGTCGCAGGCACAAAATTATTTTATTACAAAATAATATGCTCTGAACTGGTCATAAGAAAAATCTGGTTTAATTTTAAGTGCACTTTAAGTATTTTTTTCGAAATGCAATTGAATAATTACACTACAATGTCTCATTATATTTTATACTTAAGATAAAGTCCATACCAAGTTTCACCTAATATTTAAATTTAAAAAGCTGCTAGGTAAATCACATGACATAGCATCTAGAAAATTGTTATGAAATAACAAATTTAAAAATATTTATTGCCTATTTAATATTACAAAATAACAGTAATCATATACTTATTACTTAAACGACATTCAGTCTTTTACATCAAAACCAATACTGGCAAGTTTGTTACATTTTGTACTAAGCAATCAAGTTACATAGATGCCTAACTTTATTGCCATTTCACTAACTACACTTATGTATTGATGAATGTTGTAAGTTATTGTACAACTGGGACCATAGTGACAATCAATATTATTTTCCACAAACATACACGCTGACATAAGTAGAATGTAGAAAAAATTTCCTAGTGTGAAGTATGTAAAAAAATGCCATACATACATGGGTAGCTCAATCATAAGTATTGGTTGGTTGACTAAATAATACAAATCTCTAGAAAAATAGTAATCAAACTCCTAGAAATTACTATTATCTAATGTTTGGATTCCTATAGATTGAATGATAGTCAATTAAATAAAAACTATGTATTGAACATTGTTTCAATTGTCAACACTTGTTAATGAGAGTAAAGCACTTTGATATTAGCCTTGCAACATTCTAATATACAATATATTTTGTGTAATATTGATTATAGTAGTTTTAAACCCACATGTCTACTTTGACAATAATGTTATTTATTAGTAGATTATAGAAATAAAAACCAATTGGTTTCCTCTCTGTTTCATTATAGTGGAGACTGGCTCCTTAACACTTTCTAATAAGATGAATTCTATAATAATCAATGTTGTGTCTACATTTACATAGTATATATAGGTGTAATAATTATGTCCTGAGAATAAATAAAAATAAATTTGCTGTGTTGTCCAACTCACCAAGTACAATAAAAAGGTGAAAGAATGAATGTAATTAGTGAAACTGCAGGAAATATAGGTATGATTGAACCTATTACTTAAAATAAACTATAGAAATATATGTACATCATAAACTTAAACATTACCACTGTGACTAGAAAAACTATATGTAGCTGGTGTAACAGATGTATTTACACACACTTGAATTGAGGGTTTAAAAGAAGACGGAAGTAGCTTGTGTGCCTCAGGCACTGGAGAATAGCTCTGATGTACAGTCTCAAAATGCACTTGTTCACTTCTATCAGTAGGCACACCATCAAAGCTTGTTTGTTTGGCAGAGTCACCAGTCCCACTATCTTTACACGAAGAGTGCTCAGATATATTGTCTGAAAACATTTGAGGTGAATCACTGTCACTATGCACTACATGTGTCATTTTTATACTTTCGGCGGGAAAAGTATGCACAGCACTAGCCATGCGTCTACGAGTGTGGTAAATTATTACCACCCAAATTATAGAAGTTCCTACAGCACAACACACCACTGTAATAATTATAATACCAGCCATATTTTCCTCATTCACCATTATGGCTACTGGAGGTAACACTCGTAACTCAGTCATATCTTTCTTAGTACCTAACTCATTAGTAATCTCACACTCATATCGACCCGCATCACTAGATTCTGATCCAATAATAATCAGAAGCTGATCATCTGCAGTTAGGAAGTGCCGCTCAGTAGCAACAATTGGGGATCCATCTTTAAGCCATTTTATCACAGGCTTTGGAGATCCTGATATCATACATTGTAAAACTACAGAATCACCACTTGTCACTTCTTTGTTTTCCATAACTCTAACAAATGATGGTTCTTGCAACACTGTAAGTGTAGCATTTGCAATAAGAGTTCCAGCTGGATTCTTAGCTGCACAACTGTATATTCCCATATCTGTAGTTTTTGCATTTACTATGAAGAATAAGTGATCAGTTGGCATAACATTCATTCTTCTTTCTCTTGCAGCTGGAAAATCATTTCCTCCATCTTTCTTCCAAGATATTTCTGGTGGTGGGTCTCCTGTGGCCGCACAATTAAGTGTCACCGTTTCACCAGTCTTTACAGTTATATTAGTGGGAGTTTTTGTAAACCGTGGAAAAGTGACAATATTAACCTTAGCCTTGGTGGAATATGTTGTTCCAAAGTTATTACTAACAACACATTGATATTTTCCAGAATCAGCATGTGTCACATTGGGAATTACCAACATAGATGTTGCTCTGGGTTGACCATTAGTTCCAATTGTAATATTTTCATACACCACAGGGTTGCTAACATTTCCATTATTTTTTCTCCACAAAAATGTCATATTATTGAATGGAATGGATGTTGCAGAGCACACTAAGTTAGCTGACCGTCCCTTTATGGCAAGATGGGTTTTGGGATGTTCCACAACTTTTGGCTTTGGTGAATCCCCACAGTTATCTTCCTTAAGTTTAGTAACTGATACTCCTCGAACATCAGATGGGTATGCACAGTTTGCTGTGACATACTTCTGTTCAGCCTTATCCTTTATCCATTTTACTATCCACAGTAAATTGCAATCACAGAGTAACGATGAAGAATTCAAATGTAATTTCCTTAGTTTAGACATGGAATCAAAAGCATGCTGTTGGATAGAAGTTATATTATTTCCTTTCAAATCTAATTCAACTAGATTGGACAACCCATCAAAAGCTCTTGAGTTAATAGATTTTATATGGTTGGCAGCTAAACTAAAGGAATTCAAATTCTGCAGCTTTGAAAATGGTCCAGACATATCTTCTACTGTCCATGATATCTTATTGTTATTTAATTGCAGGGTTTGTAACTGGGTCATATAGCCAAAAGCATCTTGAGAAATTGAGGAAATTTTGTTGTAACCAAGGTTAAGTGTACGTAGATTGATCAAGTGTTGAAATGATTTCCCTTCCACTTCTAACAAATGGTTATGAGAAAGGTCTAAAACTTCCAGATTTGTACATAGTTCCCAGCTTCCAGAGTCGATTTCTGATATCAAATTATTAGACAAGGATAATGTAATCAATGACTCTAATCCATACATCCAGCCCTTAGAAATATTTCTTATTCTATTATGGTCCAATTGTAACAAATTCATAGATTTGAATCCAAAAAAGGCACCATCCATTATATTGTCAATATTGTTAAACCTGAGTTTGAGTGTAGTCAGATTAGACAACCCTTGAAATAACAGTGGACTTATCACATGTAACTTGTTATGATTCAATTCTAGAGTTCTCAGATTAGTCTGATGCCTAAACAAGTGATTAGGAAGTGATTTTATCTCATTCCTGTTTAGTTTCAAGACTTCTAAATTGGTCAAATTTGTTAAAGCTCCTTCCTGAATGAATTGAATGTGGTTGCTATTGACATTTAATATTCTGATGGAACTGTTAGCTGGAAATGTACCTGTGTCTATTGATCCAATGTTATTCCTATTCAAACTGAGTTCTTGTAATTTTTCATGGTGTACTAAACTTGGTATAAACTGAAAAGAGTTCTTGTCCAGCTTTAATTCTTGTAAATTCAATAGTTTGTCGAAAGCTTCCGTTACATTTTCATTCAATCTATTATAACTGAGATCCAATCGTTCCACCCACTTAGGAATTTTTGGCACAGCTACGAAATTCTTTTTCGAACAATCAACGTACTGCTCCAGGCAATCGCATTTATGTGGGCACTCAACATTTTCTGCTTTTGTAGAAACACTTATCAAACGGATTATCGCTATAAACAACAACAAATGAGAGAGTCCCATTTTCATGCATTTGTTCTAGCTGCCCGATTGATACAACAAACGACGAAAACTCCTTGTTCTTACATAATTCTTTACACAAATGACACACACATAAAGTTTATAGAATAATACACTTTTTCAATATTCATTTCAGACAGTATTCGCATTGTAATTGTGATAAAAACGAACATTTAGAAAAATAACTCGACATATTTACGGCGACCCACTCGACGGCCATTTTATTTCTTCATTGTTTATAGTGATGTCCATACCCCGCGTCACGATAACGATTTTTGTGATTCTCACCGGTTTTGTGATTTCAAGTTTTATTTTTAGTTTAAATATTTTTTTTTGCATTTAATTGAAAACAAATAAATAATAGACGTTTAATGACTATGACTTTACATTTTAACCCTGTCCATTTTTAGTATAAAACTTGAAATGGCAGCCCAAATACATAAGAAGTCAGGTGTATTGTCCAAACGAAAATTTTTTCGTTAGGTCATGTAAATTCGCAAGATATGCGAGAATAATAAATTTCCTGAAAACATTTGGCTTGAATTTGAAAGATAAAATAACAACAAGCTTAAAATGCTCAACACGCAATAGATACAGAATCTAACGCATATTAGTACCCGCACTGATGCACAGATGGCGCTACATGTAGGGTGTTTTAAGAAAGTATTTTTTAGAAAGTCTTTGTTTCCTTTATTTTTGTTAAAAAGTGAAATGCTAGTGAAACCCAGTAAAGAAGATGGTAATATTCTTTTTACTAAGGGAATATGCAATTTTATGCACCAACAGAACAGAAAATACAAATTTTGGGCATCTATATTATGATTATTAGAAAGAAACAACATATACATATTATTCTAGAAATCATTATCCGTCATTGTTACAATAATTATAAAGAGAAAGGCCAATCAAAGCAGTCTAAGATATTTTTTCCATCATGATCCTAGAGTAAAATAGAAATACATTGTTAAATTTAATTGAATAAAAATTATATACAAAAATAATATTTTGAAATGAATTATTATTGTAATTGCTATGTTTTCTACCTCCATAATATTTACTTATCTTGAAAAACAACATTTTTCATAGAAAAATTTCACCATGGGATGGCATGGTATGCATATTCAGAAAATCAGCAAGTGGATTTCAACGGGTTAAAAATCAAAATGGGCAATTTTATGTATGTATATAAAACAGTGTACACAAATATTTATTAAACTGAGAAATAATAACTATAAGTTAATAAACCAAATATATGAAATATATGTATTTATACCATTCCAAATTGGGAGTAGCATTATAACATGAATAGCTAGACAGTATTCTTGATTATATCTTGAACAATAATTATTATTTCACAGTCATTAATTTTATTGTGTGAAAACCTAACTTCTAATTCTTATTGAATTAATGGACATATCTTTGTAAGTTAAACTAATATAGATATTTTAAGAATGAAGTAATTAACCGTATCAGTTGGAAGGAAATAAAAGTTTATAAAATATAGCGAGATTTTTTAAAGTTACAGTTCAGTGTAGGTATGTTGCATGCATGAAGTTATTATGTTCACAAGTATGAAGTTTCAATGTAATGTGGTTTTAATGTTGATACTTACGTTATAGGACATTTTATTACTCTTTTTCAACCTGAAATCAATCCAAAGTTATAAATTTATTGACAATATTGCTTTAATTTACAAATTGGTAGGTACCTCAATTGATTGATGAACATAATTACACGTAACTTGGTGGGTTAGACTTTTAAAAACTTGGTAAGGACACTTACTTTTAGTAGTTAAAAAGTAGATGAGACTGTTGTTTACTTAAATTCCTTCTAATTCGAAATATTTTTAATTTATGGCTTTGGGAAACATCAAACACTCCTTTCAACTTGGAAACTAATAATGACAATCAGTGACATGACAATTGACAATGACAATGACAAATATTGTCACGGTGCTGTCATGTTATAACAAGTGATTTGTTCTGAAACTTGTAGAAATCCATGTATCACCCATAGATGAATAATAGTAGAAATCCTACAATTATAGAAATGAATTATAAGACCTTAAATTGCGATAAAATGCATATTTTTTGTTATTCCTATGGCATGTATTTAGATTTAAATAAGTATTAACAATATTTTTAGTATTTATTATGATCAACTCCAACACTATAAATCATACAAAATTTTGTTACTATAAATGCTTTTTCGTGAAAGTACTTTATTTCAAATTAACAATAATACTTGAATGTATTACATTCAATCAAGTTCGATCTCAGAGTTAAATAATTCAAGCAATAATTTATAGAGATGTTGCGGTTGCGTTGCATCGTTCGATTGGCCCGAAGGCTTTCTTAATTTTTTATTGTGCACGTCACGTCACGTCACTAACGTCATTTTGCTATCAAAATACTTGTTCCAAAAATTTATATTGTTTTTCATGAGAAATTGAATTACAGTGAAAATGGAATCTTATGAAAGTGTTCTTCTCGTTAAGAATGAAGTGTTTGTATTTAAAATACCACCAAGAACATCAAATAGAGGATATAGGTAGGTGTACACTTTTTTTGTATCGTGGGTAATTGTTTTGTGAGAAACATGATAAAACGGTGGGTGTTTTTAGGGCAGCTGATTGGAACTTACAAGAACCACAATGGACGGGGCGTATGAGACTGGTTGCAAAAGCAGAAGAGTTGATTATGAAGCTGGAAGACAAAACTTCTGGGGAGCTGTTTGCTAAATGTCCTATTGACAAATATCCGGGGGTGGCTCTCGAATCCGTCACTGATAGTTCACGTTACTTCGTTGTGCGGATTCAGGATGATAATGGCAAGAGAATATTCAATTATGTTTGTTTATTTACTTGTAGTGTATAAGATTTTAAGTTCTAACACAGGTTTACTATACCATTTCAGGTCGATCAGCCTACATAGGTCTAGGATTCGGAGATCGATCAGATTCATTTGACTTGAATGTTGCTCTACAAGACCATTTCAAATGGTTGAGAAAAGAACAAGAAGGAGAGCAGGCTCCTCAACAAAACCTTGACTTGGGCTTCAAAGAAGGGGAAACAATAAAAATAAACATGAAGATCACTGTGAGTACTTAGTAGCAATAGTAATGCAATTACAGAATGTATGTAAATACTACATTGGATTTGTGTACTCATATTAGACAATGAAGGGCAACTGAGTCAGTCAACACTAATATGATTGTGAGTCATCTAATTAGAAAAAGGACTGTTGTTTGTATTGTATTACGAAATATGTAACTATAATTTGCACATTGCTACAATGTATTTTATTCATTTGCAGAAAAAGGATGGTAGTGAAGGCAGTAGGCCACGTCGTGGTGGTGGTGCTGGGGGTGGCGGAGGCCTTTTACCTCCCCCTCCAGGTGGCTCTCGGCTCCCACCACCACCCTCGCCACAACACGCTCCTTCACCTTCTGCTGCTGCTCCAGCTGCTGCTAATTCAGAATGGGGCGACTTCAATTCAGCCAGGTATTAAGGACTGATATATTAGTAAATACAAAACCGAAAACTCCATTTTAAATAAAAAATAGTTTATTATGTTTTCGGCTTACTCACATAATTATTTGACGAGGACCTCGACTAGTATTTTTAATAGTATTTTGAATATATTTTTTATAATTAATGTAATCATTAATCTCTCCAACATGGCATACAATTTGATATCCAGTAGAAAACGGAAAAGGGCTGATGATGATTAAAGTTTATTCCCAAAATATACTGTTTCATATTTACCATGTCAAACAAACAGATGTGTGATGTGTTTGCAAACATGATAATGTCATATTTGATTACTGTTTTGTTTCTAGTGCTCCGAGTCAACAACAACAGCCAACAACACCTGCCAACCAACAGAACTGGGTGCAGTTCTGAGCTCATTAACATGTTATTGTGATTTGGCGTCTTTTGTAGGATGGCACTCATGTGTGTTGCACAATACTTAATAATTACTTAATTACGTAGGCATATAACAACTCTTGTATTCATTCTGTAGTGAGTTAAAGAAAATATATCATTATCATATTAGGATAAAATATATTATTAATACTTTACTATTAGATGCCAGATCACAATATAAATCTGCAATAAATACTATTAATATTAACTATCAATGTACTTTACTATCTGTATATGTTGTAACACTTGTATCATTACTTAGATATATTATGTGGTAGAATATTTTTGGCTCTATATAATTGTTGTTATCGTAAGTTGTTGAATATTGCATGTCATAGACACTATCTATGTAAATAGTTGAGAGTTTAAATGCCACATTGTATTAGAAGTTGCTGAAATATATATTATGGAAACATTTTACTAATCACTGTAATTAAATATGAGATCTGTGTTGTTCACTTATTATGTAACAGATGTACAAATGTTTAGAAGTTATAATAGTGAAATTAATATACCATTTATTTCTTTGAAACTTATTTATCATGTTGTGTTAGTGTTGCAAGCGGGATTGGCGATCTAAACACTTACTTATGTATATTAGCTTTACTTTTAAATAATGTCTTTATTTAATACTTATATCGAGGATTTCAGTAAGAAATGTTGTAGCTACTTATGAAATATATTATATATAAAGAATATGCTGATGTACCCAGTGAGTTATTGCATGTTCTTGAGTGAGAACTTTGAACTCAAACCCAGACAGCTATTTGATTTGTTTCTTTGCAAACATGAAAATCTCGAATAAGATATATTATCTAACATCTATCGTTTTAGGTTCAGAGTTACAGAATGAAATATAAATTACACCGTTTTTGTTTGTTTGAATTGAAGTGAACCTCAAGAAAGTTAGGTTTAGGTCATTAGCTTGAACTTATATAACAATCAAATATTCTGCTGTTAAAAAATCTATTGATTTTCATTAGTTATCTAGGTAAACTTAAAAACAAATTGTAGCAAGTTCGATAAAAAAGACATTAGGATAGTTTGCACCATGTAAAGGAACTAAAATAGTGTGGCGTAATTTGTACAAATTGGGAGAGTAGCTAGGTAAATAATAAAACACGTTAAGATATCTTTACGAAAAAAAGAAGCTAGAAGTTGCATCCTTTTCTATTCTTGCTATAAAAACAGTTGGTGCAGGTCATGGCAATACAAAGAAATAGGCCATGGCAACGAATCAAATATTATTTAAGTAATTTTCATGTTGCACGGCTCTCCATCAAGTTTTATTCATGAAATTGGATAGATGCCAAAGCACTCTGACAATATAAAACTGGATTATTGCCATTTAAAGTGCCCAGTTAACGAGATTTCGAAAAATAAATTCTGAAAAAGCTAGGGGCAAGTTTTGACGCTTAAAGATACACCGTACTCATGTAGGTACACAATAATATGTATTAAAATACCTAATATAAACTAACTTTTGGTCAGTTATGTCACACGAGTCCCATGTAATTAGTGACGAACCTATTGTGGGTTCACCGACCCGAATTAACCCGACTACGGCTGAGCCTGAGACCTCGTGCTTGGTAATACCTAATTAGTGTGGCAATAGTGTTTGTGAGACCTATCAAGACATAGAAGGTGAGGTGTTATAAGAAATAGCCTGTTTTCAGCAGTGTACGATGTTAAGAATAATATAATCGACTGGGGAATCCAGTCTTATAGGTTTCCTAGTTTTCATATAGGTGCACTTGATCGATTCTTTCTTCATCAGAAACTTACTAATACAATAATCCTCAATAAATGACAGCCGTCTAAAAGATAAAATCGACCTACCTATCTACTTACCCAGTTTATTAGGTAGCCCAGTAGCATACCTACTCAATAATAAGTAACAAAAATATTTAAAGATTTGATTGCTTCATTGGCCGAGTGGTCGCAAGTACGACTGCCTGGCAAGAGGTCTCGGGTTCGATTCCCAGGTCGGGCAAAGTATTACTGGGTTTGTAAAAACCTCAGTAGTAGCACGGAGTCTGGAAATGTGCCCGGTATATGGCAATAGGCTCATTCCCTATTACATGGGACTCATAACATAAAGAGTGAAAAGTGCGTGTTACATTGTACAGTGGCATCAAGTGCCGTAATGTGCACCTCTGCCTACCCCTTCGAGGATAAAAAGGCGTGATGTAAAAATATTTAAAATGGTTTCCATACTCAACGTACCTATATGCTTCACTTAATTTATTTTGCAGTTTGGTAGGAACAGCTTCGAAATGGAGGCCCGTAGAAGGATACAGCATGGCTGGGCAGTATATAGAAATCTTAATCAAGTCTTCTCGTCACAGATATCGCAAAGCCTGAAGACAAAAGTCTTCAACGAGTGCGTCCTTCCAGTTATGACATATGGAGCCGAGACGTGGACACTAACAGTGCGACTGGTCCACCAATTTAAGGTCGCACAGCGAGCTATGGAGAGGGCCATGCTCGGAGTCTCTTTGAAGGATCGAATCCGAAACGAAGTGATCCGACAGAAAACCAAAGTTATCGACATAGCCAAAGGATCAGTAAGCTGAAGTAGCAGTGGGCCGGTCACATTTGTCGAAGAACCGATAGCCGTTGGGGTAAACGTGTTCTAGAGTGGAGACCGCGTCTAGGCAAACGCAGTATAGGGCGCCCTTCAGCTAGGTGGAGTGACGACATCCGCAAGGTGGCTGGCAGTGGTTGGATGAGAAGAGCTGAAGACCGAGCTTAGTGGCGTGCCATTGGAGAGGCCTATGTCGAGCAGTGGACAAATACAGGCTGATGATGAATTTTCTTTTTCATTAACACGTAGGTACTGCGTGTATAAAATGTATGAATGTCAACTTACTTAACTGTGTATCATCATAAGTACCGTACGGTAAGTAACCTACCTACTCTATAGATCGCAGTTACTCATGTTGAACGCCGGGAACTCCCATTATCTGAGTAGGTACAATATCAG